CATAATTTGTTCTCTCGAGTGCAAACAGCTGATTAAGTTGGATGCCGATCTCGATGTTTAAAAACATTAAACAGTTTATAGTACACTTCTGCTGTCGCTTTCTTTTCCCAAATAGTTTTTTTTTCAGTCAATTAATAAATATCTAATTAAATTAGTCATATATTGCACTTCTTCTTATGTAATTTCAGAGATGAAGTATCACATGAAAGCCCAGATCAGATGCCGATCGCGATGCAATAGCGTCGAATGTCAAACACTTATTTTTCAAGATTTTGCTGAAAATATTCAAAAAACCAGAATTCTTTAACAGTCTTGGAACTTTATTACTTCGATTTTACTTCATTTTAAACACTAATTGCGTCTATATAAGGCGATTACAACTTTCTCGGGGTCTAATTATACGAGTGTCGAATTGCACGGCTACCGCTTTTTTCAGAGCGACACTGAGCACTCAATCGCAACATCTCGGGTCTTTCCGTCAGAGGTCGGAAAAATAACCTCGAATGTATTAACATCACCGGATGTTAAAAATTTATACATTTCCTGTTTATTCAAATATACGATACACGGAGTTAGAAGTCCCTTGTATATTATAATTTAGGTAATATCATTACATTGAATAAAGTTAAACTCCATATTCCACAGATAAAAGGTCCCCATGCATTTATTTCAAAGATCGTGAAAAGGGGGAGTTGTCATGGCGGCTTCCATATACATTCGAGGTCGTTTTTCCGCTAGTCGGAAAGGCCCGAGAAGTTGCGATTGACTGAGCACTAGCGACAGTTTTCACTGGTACACCTGTAGGTCACACCCACGTCTTTTCATGATTGAAATATGACTCCGTAGACTATTTTGTGTGTGAATAATGGCTAATGCTAAATGTTGTGTGATGCGTAGATAGTGTACGTGTTGGTGTTGTAGATAGTGTGTTGGTGTTGGTGCCTTTGTGTTTGTCACCTCTCGCTTTCAGGAGTGTTGGTAAAATGGGTAGGCAAACCCGGGCCGGGGCAAATTAAAAGCCGGGGCAGATAGAGATTTTTCAAATTTCTGTCTTCATACTTTATCGATCGAGCTGAAATTTTCAGAATGTATTTAATACATGATTATTTATATTCGCTGCTAAAATTGCCATGAAATACTTTATATTGTAGATTTTATCGGCGACTATTGATTTTCAAGTTGGTAAAATGGGTAGGCAGTTTCCCAAGTTCACAATTTACGTTTTCAGACATCTGCTGCATAAAGTCCATAAAGTTATGAAAAATTCTGGTGTTTAAGAATACATTTTAACTAAAAATTAATATTTCTTCATTGGTTATGGTAATATTTACGAAAAATTACATGTTTTAAGAAAAACCGGGTCATTAAAACCGGATCCGATCACCCGGGACAAACCTGAAAATTCCGGAATAGTTTAGTAATGTTTGTCACCTGAAAAAGAAAACGCCCAATTGATTTGTTGGAAGTTTGTATTTAATTTTTTAAATAGATCATTTATTTAAAGATAATTTGCAGTTAACATTCCCTACCACTGGCTTTAATCTAATCACACACAAGCTCTCTTAATCAATTTGGGCAATACAAAATTGGCTTACCTTATTATGTTAATTATCTTAGGAGAAAAAGCTGGGAAGAAAATTGTTGTGATGTAAAAATAATTAAAAGATCACAGTGACATCTTTAATTGACAATTATACTATAATTTGATTTTCAGGGACCCTATATATTCCTTCTCTGGAGTGGACTTTTTTTCAGTTCAGATTAGATGCATCCAGCAGTTGTCATTCTTCTGTATGTTTCTTATATAAATGTAGGTATGAGGTCTTTATGAATAAATGTTTTGTTATATGATCATGTTTTACTTGTCATCTCATCGGACTGGAAAAATTGAATTTAAATTAATAAATAAAAAAGGCTCTTGTGAGGATACCTCCATGTGGTTAGAGCTGGGCAATGTCACAAAAGTGATAGCTAACATCCTCAAATACAAAGAATTTGGTTTTAATTATTTCGGAATTTTCGGGTTTGCCCCGGCTGATCGGATCCGGTTTTAATGCCCCGGCTTTTCTGAAAATGCGCAAATTCTGCATACTTATAGCTTTTATAATGTAAAACTAATTATATTTCGTTAATATAAAGTGTAAAATATTGGAAAAGTCCACAATTGTAATGGTTTAATGAGTCTTAATTCAAAAATACCGTAAAACGTCGTATTGATTTTGCCTACCTATTTTACCAACCTGGAAATGAACAATCGCCCAGAAAATCAGAAATATTGCGTATATTAGGGCGATATTAACAGCGAATACAAAAGAACCTTAAAGGAACATAATCTGAAAATTTCAGATTAATTGGTTGAGTATTAGCGGAGATATTTGAAAAATCTCGATCTGCCCCGGCTTTTCATTTGCCCCGGCCCGGGTTTGCCTACCCATTTTACCAACACTCCGCTTTCAGCCCTCGCAGCTGGTTAGCAGCAATGCGAAAAGGGAAGCAATTTGTTAGCCTCCCCCTGCCAGTACATAGTCTCTCCACAACAAGTCCTATGCGATGCGATGCGATGCCTCCACGTGGAAGCAGACGGATACTTGGTACCATTCGGCCCAGGCTAACTTCGCAAGGGCGCACGGGAAGATGAGGCTCGAAAGCCTTGATCGGCAACTCATCTAGAAGAGAAAACTCGGACTACAATCCGATTTAAGTAAGAGGCCGTTAGCAACTACTATGTTTGCCCCTAGACATACATGTAAACCTGGAGGTTGGACTTGAGGCTAATCACCTCCTTCCATAAAAAAACATCAGTTACTGATTACAGAAACCGTTTTAACAATTGCCTGGGGGAAGGGCAAGCACGACATGCGAGATTCCAGATCAGGATTACCTTCATTAGGAATTTGAGAGAGAATGACAGCAATTAGGAAAAGCCGAGAGGACCCTAACGGCCTGAAAGGAACGCAGATGCCATCCATACAGTGTAACAACACCTAAAAACATCACCAAGATCGAATGTTGAAACGTGCCCATAGAGAGGGATAGAGACGAAGAGGACGGCCAAAGAACACCTGGCGACGCACTGTTGAAAGGGAAAGGGAAGAACTGGGCAGGAACAGTTCAAAGGAGGGGCAGGTTGTTGCCAGTGACCTCCGTAAGTGGCGTTCTTTGTTGAACGGCCTCATGCATCCTCCAGGGCACGGAGAGGATAAGTAAGTCAGTCAGTCAGTAAGTAAGTAATGGCTAATTTTAAAACAATTACCGGGGGTAGTATGAATAAAGTTCATCAGTATTTGGCTTAATGATAACTTGAATTTGTTGAAAAGGTCACTATATCGACCATGAAACTGAAGAAATGATAACGCGAAGCTGCTGATATTCTTGTGTCGTCAATTTATTCGTCAAAATCTTCCCATGTTTTAGAAAAAAAGTTTATATGTAGTGCACATTCTTGCATATCGAATCAACTGAGAGATATAAACCCTATATGAAGATGAAAAATGAGATTGAAGTAAATCTAATTCTTACATGTACAATCATGTACAGTGTAGTCTGAAAGAGATCGGTGCCAGTAACCTTTAAAAAATACAAAAGGCACTTAATTGTGGTTTAATTTCAATAAGATAAGCAATAAGACTTCAATAGGGTTTTGATTTTGGGGTAAATGTAAGTACATCTAGAGGGTAACAATCTTTTTCAAAGGTGTCTTGAATATAATTAAGATAAGTTAAAAAAATCTTTTTACCCATCACTCATAAAGATCATCAATGTTAATACCAACAACGAAAGGAGGAAATTCAAAATGATGTGATGTGTTGTGCATTGAATAATGGTGTATATCAACTGTGGATATTCAAAATCTATAAAAAGAAAAGTATTTTAAGAAAATTGAAAAATCTTTATTCTTGTCAAAGTCATTTACATCAAAACGAGTGACTATCATACACTGTATATAACCAATTAAAAACTAGGCTTTTGATATAGCCAACAGCTGCTTCTTCAATAAAAGTGGTAGTTGAGAAAACTCCGTTAGCTATCTTGTGATTGGACATCAACAAGATCAAATGAAATCATTAAAAATCTACACACAAGTACTCTGAGGTTACTGTTTTGTCAGAAAAAAAAGCGGAAATCGAAAATTTACACAGTCTTGTAATTGGTCATCAGGTACTGAGTACTTTAAAAATGATATCAAAGGGATACTAGAGTTCCTTTCTATCATAACGTCTACATGTACGTGGAAAACTCTGTGGTGTTCAGCTCAATATTCAGATATTTCGACGACGTTTTATTAATTAACAATATATACTAGGTACTTCCATACAAAAGTATCATCCAAATGAACCAAAAATTTTTAAAAGGCCTCCGAGTCTGTAATATCTGCTTTATAATACATGTTTTACTGTCTTTTAAAGGGATAAGGATAAACTTACAACTAATTTATTGACAAAAGAGATAAAATTAAGTTTTTGCGTCAATTTTCCTTATTTATCTGTAGTCATATACTAGTACTGGATAAATCCTCTATCATGCACCTGCGTATAATGTAAACATCTCCCAATTAACGATTTACCTAAAAGCATGCTCAGGGCACTTTCAACCTTTTTTTTTCCCAAACCAATTATGACCACAAGAGACGAGGTAACGTTACAAGAATTCAACAATCTCGTTAAGTGTTAGCATTTCTTGAATGCTTTGCTCAAATTTTATGGTTTTCCTAGCGCCATAACTTATCCATGGGTTGTATTTTGGCTGCTGTATTTTTATTTATTTTTTTTGGATACTACATTGTAATTGTTAGGCTTTTGTTTTATATTTAATCTAATTATGGAACATTCTGTTCGTTTGATTGGCACAGATGGCGCAGGATATCAATTACTTACTTAGGCCTGTCGTTCCGTGAGGAACATAGGCCATCAACAACAGTCCTCCAACGAACACGATTCTGAGCCTGCTCTAGCTGCATCCTGCCAGGTCATATCCTGCGTCTTTAACTCCGACTCCGAGTCATGCCTCCAGGAGTTTCTAGGACGTCCTCTTTTTCTTTTGCCCTGTGGGTTCCAAGTCAGGGTCTGGCGTGTGATGCTGGATGGTGACTTAGGATATCCATAGGGGCTGCTTACTCTTCAGAGCACCAGACATCACCTATGACTTTTCCGTGTTTTATGCTCTGTTCACGGATATATTATTCTTAGTCATGGTCAAGTTGCATATAAAAACTTCATTCTCAAGTTTTCAAATTATTCAAGTTGAAGAATAACACTGTTGCTGTATACTGCTTTCATTTAGCGCCACTGAAAATTTTATTTCTTAAGGATAAATAACAGAAACAGACTTTTTTTTTTACAGAAATGAGCAAATTTCTCATATATTTAAATCTAAACTGGTAATTTGAATAATGTTTGTCACCTACATGTATACTAGTAGTGGGAGAGTTTTGTAAAATTTTGTCATAAATCCACGTGCAAAAGTTAGTATTGAATTATGTAGAAAACGACTCCATTAAGTCACATATCTAAGCGCCAACTTACTACGATAATTGCTTTATATTTTAGGGATTTATCACTAATGTCATAATCAAAATCAATCGAAATTATGTATCAATCCATGCATCAAATTTTTGTTTGTACTAAGTAACTATTTAGACACAGGCAGCGCACATTACTTACTGATTTTTTTTTTCAAGAATGATTTTAAATTAGGACTCTTGCACATTGACACCCTAAATCATTCTCTGTTCAATCCCTAATGCTAAGCTATCAAATACGATGATTTTTTTTGTTTTGCTCTAACAGCCTTTGTTTTAGTGTGATAAGCTTTATGCGCAGCTGCTGTTAGAGATTGTGATTATCTTTCTATAAAAATAATCCAAAATGGTGCCAGCAGCAACAAGTGCGTTGTTGAGTATTATCAAATGTTTCCCATTTTAAGTGTCCAAATATGGATTGGAAAAAGTTTTGCTCCTCCCATGTGCGAAATAGATAGTGAATCAATAACAGAGGTTTTACAGGAGTACAGATGACCTTGATTCTATTTTAGATACAATTCACAATGTTTTTGTATCATTACAAATATTAATCTTAGTAACTTGAATTATTTCCTGACAATTTCACATTTGATTTATAAGGAAAATTATTTATTACATGCATAAGAGTCAGTTGACTTTTGCTATGAGAACGTTGTTACTTTAAAAAACATTCAACAAGTTATTAACAGACCTGTTTTTGTCTTCATATAAAATAGAATTTGTCCAAAAGCATATACGTAAAAAGAAAACACTTGCTGTGGTCTACAACTAGACATATCGTAGATATATCGACGTCGTATATTGTCAATTTACAATGGTAATTTCCATTCTTATGTTGATGCGATATAACCCCACCAGCCTGAAATAAAAGATACCACAGAGTCTGATACAGGTGTTTCATATTTTGGTATTTTACTAGAAAAAGACGTTATTGGAAATCTAGAACATGTAGAAGCAAAGCTTTATTTGTTAAACGTGATGAATGATATATTATACGTTCATCACCTGCAGACAGTGGTTATATCGATTTGATACACAAGAGCATGCTTTACATACATGTATGATTCATTTTTAAACAAGGTAAGTTATTGAAAAATAAGTTAATAGAAGTCATCATTTTGTAAACTCTTTAGTCGATACAATGACCTTGTCAGCAAAAAACTGACATTTTTCATACTAATTGTTAGGCCATCATTTACACATTGAATCGTTGACGGATTTTTTTCTGTTATTTCCCAATCATGATAAGGAGCACACGGCGGGTGTGACTGGTCTGCAGGGGATGCTCACTCCTCCATGGCACCCGATGCAACCCCGGGTGTTTTTAAAGGTCCGTGTTTGCTCTGCTCTAATGTTTGTTTTGTTTGGTGGATTTTTAGCTTGAATACTTTTCGTTATCTTTATATGTTTCATTCAAGAAAATTCAAACGACGAAAATGGTTAAAATTGGACACCCTGTCTGTATTATTTTCTTAGCGGAGAGCCAATTTGATAACGATATCGTCAATATCGATAAAAACATCGTTTCGATATTAATCCAAAGAAGAATTACATCTATTAAATTGGAAGTACATATTTACTGGATGATATATACATGACTGAGTGCTATGTAATAAAGTCGATATTGAATCGATATTGATCCTGATCTGTAAAATGTATTTTCAGATTATTATATTAGACTAAAAGCAATGTTGATGTTTATTCGATTTTGACAATTTACACATGTAAATACAGTAAATACAGGTTGAGCCGGGTTAGGGTTTGTTATTGTCAGGGGGTTTGAAACTATCATGATTCAATATCGATACGATCTCTTCAATATCAACAACATGGCAAACTTAATAATCGAAAAGTACATATGCAGGCATAGAAATATACAACCACAGGAGAGAAAAATGATTTAATATCGAAACAATGTCTTCGATGTCGATGATATCGATAACAAATACAATGTTGTCAAACATAGAACAGTCCCGATCAAGTATTAAGCACATAAATCGATAACAAATTGATATCATCGACGGGATCGACGATATATTGTCTTTTCTGATACACTTTATTTTATCAAATAAAATATACAACATGATTATGTATATTTTATTTGATAAACAAATATATTTTTGAAGAAGTTTTCCTTATTATATCACAAATGTAATAAGTTTCGCTACAAACCCTTCGGCATCGGGTGACATAACACTCCAGGGCTTTCCTGTCACTTCGGGGCAAATATTCTGGTATGTCACCCTCGAAGCCATGTGACATATGTAAAATATCAGGAAAGACAATATATTAATAAGGATCCAACATTACTACGTCGACTCAAGCCACGGTCCGGAGTCTGCATATAGCTCTCTCCTTCCCGTGGCTGCTTGATCACAAAAAGTGTCGTAATCTTGAATATTTACGCCTCTCTATCGTGACATCATATTCAGTCAATCACAAGTTTTGTGTCCATCGCAGTGGAAATCAACAATTGAAATCAGCAGTATACAAAAAATATTTGGAGAATGGGAGATCGAGGATCGTACATTTTGGCCGTGGTTTGCGACGATGACATTCCTATTGATTTAGTTTACAGACTTTACACCTGTTTTCAATGGGCGAAAGGATATCAATTGATCTTGAAAAACAGAAAACAGAACATTTATTCATTTGGAAATGTTATTTATTAAACACTCAATTCAGTTACATAATAACATATTACTCTTCAAATAATGTTGCAGCGTGTCCATGATACTGTAAACGTACTTTTTTCCACGGGGTCATAATTCCGCGGAATCTCAATTCATGTTTAACAACAAGTTGCGTGAGGTATTATGTTTTTGACCCGTCCGTCATTCAGTTAGTCAGTCAGAGTGTCAGAGTGTCAGTCCGTCAGTCCTGTTTTTTTTTTTTCAGCGCAACTCCTCATATTAAACCGCTGCAAAGAATTTCGCCAAACTTTGCAGATATTTCGGACACAGTTTGTAGATGTGCATATTGCCACGATTCTTTTATTTTTTCCGGGAATTTCCGCACTTTAAAACTTAGATTTTTGGCCATACATGTATCTTGAATATGGAGATGGACAGTTTGTCAGCGCAACTCCTCTCAAACCGCTGCACACAATATCGTCAAACTTTGCAGATATTTAGGACACAATGTGCATGTAGATGTGCATATTACCAGGAAATTCCGATTCCTTTATATCTCCGGGAATTCCCACAGTTTTCAACTTAGATTTTTGGCTATATTTTGAATATAGAGATGAACATTTTGTCAGCACAACTCCTCATAAACCGCTTCACACAATTTCGTCAAACTTTGCAGATATTTAGGACACAATGTGTAGATGTGCATATTACCAGAAAATTTTTGATTCCTTTATATTTTTGCTGGGAATTTCAGCACTTCGACTTTTGGGGGAGTGTGGGGTATGTGAGCTTGCTCACTTTCTCTTTCATTTTAAATCAATTATTTATAGATTTATTTAAATTATTTATAGACAAGCATAAAATCAGAATTGTACAATCAAAATTAAATTAACAACGCAATTAAGGTAGGATTCTTCTCATATTTCTAATATTTAAAGATTAATGAAATTTTCACAGAATCAAGAAGACAATACCAGTAAGTGATAGTATCAGTGAAATTAAATTTGACCGTTTTATATTAGAGGCAAGGTCAGGTCAAGGTCATTATCTTTTTCCTTGACATTAAGAATAAAAAATAACTGTTGCCAATCATGTGATACCTACTTCTATTTCAAAAGTTTAATGATTGTTCTTTTTGCATAAAAACATATTACTATATCGGGTCTATAGCATGATATTACCAAATTTACACAAATAATCTAACTTAACTGGATATTGGCTAATCCGAATTTTCTCTGTTTTTCTTAATTTTTTAGGATATATTAGTTATTTTCATATGCTTTCTATATATAACTTTTTCTTATTTTCACATATAATTAAGTAGTCTTATAAATGTACAAAATGATACAAAAACAAAAACAAAAAGTTTTGATCGTTTTTTAAGAGAGAAAAAATACTTTTTATGGATTTTTGGCTCAAATCTGCACTTTGATAGGAAGCGTTTAAAGCTAATAAAGTTCTAGTTTGTTTGAAAAATCATATTTATTTGATATATTTTGAAAGTTTAGTCCCTCATTATTAATCTAACTTACATTTGAAAATTTCTCCAAGACTTCGATTGTGTAAAAATTTTGACTAAATTCATTGTTCTATTATAATTTTGAGAGGCAGAAAATTAAAGAAGATATTTTCATACGCCACCATTCTGCCAAAAATATAGTCCCTGCTAGTTTTCAAACGCAGTTTACCATTTCTTTTTAAAGGTTTACAATTGTGATGAGGAAAGAAAAATATGATTTTAAATTCCTTACACCTCAATATATAAGACATATAAGCAAATATACTTTGAGTGTTTCATCTAGTCAGAAACCAGAGAAGAATCCTACCTTAATTTGTTTCGTTAGAGAAAACCTTTCTACGGTGATTTTGAACAATTTAGCACATGTGAAAAATAGTACTTATCTACTTTTTACGAATATTACATATGCTTCG